TGCTGCAATCTTTGCAGCACGTGATTTTTTTTTTTTTAATTATCTGCATGGTACAAGTATTTTTATGTTATCTGAACACTGTTGATATTTCTAAATATTTTAAAATTTTAATGCATAGTTTATCGGCTGTATTGTTACTTATTATGATACTGTACATAGTTTTTTTTTATTAATTTAGTAAAAGTAGGTGTCCCCAATTAGCTCTATGAGCTAAATACATTGACACGGTAATAAAGATTTTATTATTTTTATTATTATTATTATTACTATTTTGGACATGGGTCAGAAAAGCTAGATTGATTGAACAAGTAGAGGCTTACTGATCAATCCTCTGTGCAGAATAAATTTGAATAAGCAAAGAGACTTTCTCTTCCTAGTCTGGTTTTTTCATTTTGGTTTTACTTTATTTCTTTCTTTAAGTTCCAGAAGTTGTATGCCTAGTTCACAATATAGGGCTTCTATTAAACAGTCAGAACAGACTTCTATTAAGCAGTCAGAACAGATGAATTTGTCATCTAGCAATGTTAATCTAGGGGATTTTCCCTGTATGCTCCTAAATTACCCACTAGATCCCATTTTCTTGGATGGTTTTAAAGCATATCCTACCTAAGCTGTCACCAGTGAAAGAAAAATCAGCCTTGTGACAAGTCTTTGTGTTGAGATCATTGTTTTCGATCTACTTGACTGTGTTCATTTGAGTTGAATTTTGTCAGAATTTATTGGTTTTTATCAAGTAATATTAATTGATGAGTTTTGGATGTGATTGCAGTAACAGAAGTGGCACTGTAAACAGAATTTCGTTGATGCTTATTCATGGTAATCATTGATCAACTTGGTGAGGAGAGAAAAATCACTGTATGATTGATAGGGTAGAAGTTTGAAATTTGAGGTTTGGAATTTGAAGGAGGAAAGTTAAATGTACCAAAATGAAATAGTTTACCTTTCCTCTCTGCCTCAGTAAAATTAGTTCTGCAAGCTTGTTTATTTAGTATTAAGTGTGTGTATCCAAATCATCTAAATGTAAAGTTCACATTGTATTTCTAGGTCCATGAAGGTGCTTCCAGGTCAGTGCCAGACCTCCATGACCAGATCATGAAATTCAAAGGTAAAATGCATGTGTTACAGCAACAAAGAGATTGCCTTCAACATTGGCTAAAGTATCTTTCAAAAGAAAGGTTCCTTAATCCAGAGGAAGTCAAATTTGAGAAAAACCTTGGTAAAGGAAAACATGGAGTGGTGTACGAAGCAACATTCAGTGGACATCCCTGTGCTGCCAAGTGTTTCCAACCAACAGATATGAATTCTTTTCTTCACGAATTGGAAGTGGCTGCCCACTGTAAACATCAAAATCTCTTGCATGTTTTGGGTGGAACAGTTAAAGATGGATTCCCCCTGTTAGTATGTGAACTTCATAATGGAAGCCTTTCTCTATTCATTGAAGAATATAGAAAGGCCCGGGGAGGGTTACCTGAAAAGCTAATACTTAGCTTAACCAGAGACATTGCTAAGGGTCTGATCCATATTCATAGTAAAAAACTGGTACATCAGGACCTGAAATCTGACAACGTTCTCGTGAGAGAGATGGGGGATGACTCATGGAAGGCAATTGTATCGGATTTTGGAACCGTCAATAATTGTACTAATGTTACAATGCCAAATGTTGGGTCACCTAAATATCGTGCTCCAGATGAACGTCAGACATATAAGGTGAGAATAAGCATTGTCTTTATTAAGTGTCTGTAATTTTAATCTTTACAAAGAAAATTGAAGACATACAGTTTAATGTAAGCTTAACCATGGGTTAAAAAATTTCCTTGGCTGGTATCGCAGATTACATCAGTTGGTGAGCTATTGCACCTTATTTGAACTTCATTTTATTTGTTTTGTGTATCATCCAGAACACAAGAAGAAAGATGATCATTTTCTAAACTCGAGGCATCTGATAAGCATGTTGACGATTAGTCAACTTTGAGGTGAAACTCAGCTTAATTTGTCTCCAACAGTTTATTTTAGGACTACCCTCACCCTGACAAGGTCACACTGATCACACCTTTGTATTTTCTTTCAGATGGATATTTTCAGTTTGGGCCTTGTGGTGCTAGAAATGGCGATTGGCAAAAAGCCAGACCAAAGTAGATTAGAGGAACAACTAAACAAGGTTAAGAGTGAATCTCTAGACAAATTAATCAAACGTTGTACAGCTTTAGATCATACAAAACGGTATTCTGGGGAGGATGTCAAGTTCTATTGTGAAGAAAGATTGAAGAACA